ACATTCAGTAAACTGGTGTAATCTGCAAAGTCCAAATTTTGCATAATTATGGGCGTGGCTGGTCACGTGATCTAAAAAAAGAAGTGTTTAAGGTCCAAAGTGGTTCTGGTCTTAAACACAGCGGTCTAAGAGTAAAATAAAGGAAGATAGTGGAAAAAAACAAGATCAAGTCATAAAACTTCGCATGTAGCGAGGACCCATTCCTTAATTCACGGGAGCATAAGGGTAGCTAATACTTTCGGATGAAACGAAGAACCACCTAAAACTTTCGTGACGACCACAGTTCGCCTTAGACATCCGAATAGATAAATAATTTTAAGGGTGACCCAAATTAAGCAAACAGGCTTCTAAAGCGCAGAGAATACCATTTGAGATACTTCTGGCGAATTTGGAAAAATTCGGTCGTTGGGTGCCCCTGATGACTGCCCGCGTCATCGCCAAGGTCGTAACGGCTTTTCACGAACAGTTTGGATCTTTTGTTATTGTATATATGGTTGAATTATTTCCCTGAGTGTGCCAATGCCATATCTGCAATATCTGTAGTGCGGATTGAACGGGATATTTTCCGTTCACTGGAAAACACCCACTCTTTCGTGAAACAAGGGAAGGAGATAAAGAGGACTCAGTATGTGTAATTATTTTTGCGATTTTTTTCGTGCTCGACATTTCGTTCATTTTTCACGAGGTTTTCATCGGCATTTCCGGTTAGCGATGCTGGTGAGGCTGCCAGAGGGCATATAATGTACTTTACATTGATGAGGTGGTTCATAACGACACAGAACCGGGTCATGCTTTCCTCGCCAACTTGCAGTAGTAGACTATTGGTTGGATGGAGTGGGGATGTTGCTGTCTTGATGCAATATTCAGCGACATGAAGAATCATAGCTAGACGAACGGTTTGTCCTTTGGCTTTTAAAAGGACACCAAACGTGTCATTGTCGATGTTGATCTTTTCCTTTCATTGAGCGCATCGTGATCGTCAATGAAGAGTTCATGGCTGTTTTATCAAATTTGTACGTCTTGGGCGAGTGGTGAAGATCAATAATACGCAAGAGGACGTCTTTGAATGAGAGTACTTCACTCGCGGAAGCTGCGTCTGCAGGTCTGCATATATCCAGTACTGCGAAAAGGCTGAGCGGCGTTCAAAATTATGCAGACTTTGACTGGAGATCCCGTCTGCTCAAAAGAAATGTTCACATTTCTGAATAGGACATGACCTGGTCTCCAGCTAGAACATCTTTCAGTTCTTCTAAAGCTTTCTGTTGTTCCTGCTCCCACTTCCAGGGCATGTCTTGTCGCGGAAGAAGACGCAATGGGGCTGTGATTGTGGCATACTTGGGAATGAAATGGGATACGTACTGTGTTATGCCTAGGAGGGACTTGATATCACTGGCGTTCTGCGGTTGACTTGCATTGCCTATTGCTTCAACTTTTTTGGGGTCGGACTTGACATCACTGAAACTAAAAATATGGCCATAGAACCTGATTTCACTCTTAGAGAACTCGCATTTGTCTTTGTTGAGGCGAAGGTTGTTGTCTTTAAGTCTCTGGAGAACATCACGAAGGTTCTTGTCATGCTCATCATCTGAAATGTTCTTACATCCGGGTAGGTCTGTGAGGAATTCTTTGGTTGATTATTGGAAGATTTCAGATGCTGCGTTGATTCCAAATGGCAAGCTCTTATAGCGTCTCAGTCTAACATGGATACTTAACGTTGTGAAAAAAAGGCTTTCTGTTGCTAGTTCGAGTTGGTGGCATCCTGAAGAAAGATCCAGCGTGCTGAAATGAGTTGCACGATTGAAATCAGCTATGAGGTCATCTATAGTTGGCATGAGGTGTTTTTCCCTCTTGACTGCTTTATTCGCCTCCCGCATATGTAAACATAGATCCGCACTTCTCCGAATTTCTTGGGTACGACAACAATGGGGCTAATCCAGGGTGTGGGGCCCTCAAATCATTCGATGATATCCAATCTCTCTAACTTTCAAGCTCCTTTTCAACGTCTCCACGCACATGAAAGGGAATCCTGGGGTGTGGCTGTTGTCTGGGTGTGATGTCAGGGTCAACATGTAACTTAACTATTTTGTTTCGTAGTCTTCCTATGCCTCCAAATACACATTCAAGTTCCTCTTGTAGAGACTCTGTGCTGTTCATCTTCACATCTGTGACGGTGGTAGTGTTAACAGATATTGTAATCAATCTAAGCTTCTGTGCAGTGTTGTAGCTGAGGAGGTTTCCCGTGTTTCCCTTCACAACATGTAACTGGGTGGTAGTACTATTACTATTGGACTTGATAGTTGTTGAAAGTGTTCCTAGCAGTGGCAGGGGAGTATCAGATCTTTCTGTGAACATGCTCTAGGAGTTTGTTACCAGGGTCAATTCGATGAAATGCCGCTTCATCTAAAAGGTTAACAGATGCACTTGTGTCGATCATCATCTCTACAGCTTTTCCATTTACTTGTACCTGGCACATCGGTGGCTTCTTGCTTTCGATGTAATT